TACACGTCGCTTTGGATCGAGAAAAGGGAGGCGCGAACTTTAAGCGTAATTTCGGCTATTATCTTTTTGAGTTTGTGTCCCAATGAGATTTGAAAGAGACCCCAGTTTGCATCAAAGGGTAGACGAGCGCGTTACAAGGGGACGCCGAGGGGTGTACCCGCGTCATTCAATTAGAGCCACGAGCGATGATCACCCGAGTTTTACGGCTTGTTCTGTGCTCAAATATCAACCACGGCTTTCGAGCATTTTCCTCTTTCGGGGACGGAAAGTCTGATTGGCACCAATTACAGAAGCGGAAGTCTCTCTCTGACCACTTTCTTCTCTATCCTCCACTCGGTATCCCAAATGATTGTGAAGGATGCTTTTCGGCTCGTCAGAATAGGAGAGAAAAAAAATGGTCCCTCGAAGGTATATATACCCTTGCAGTTAGACGAGAGCAATGAAACAGTGACAGGTGTGAAATAGCCGACCACAGTCGCGATAAATTTTCGGTCGGCACACCAGAATAACCGAGCGAGTCGAATTCAAAAGCAGCTCATCGAACCGAGCACTGCGTTGCTCGGCTTCATTTCCCGGGCGCTGCGCCACTACCGCGCGTATACGTATACCTACATAGTCGAATGTTTACGGATGCTAATGAGAAACGCAACAGCGCAGCTATATTGGCGGTGCAGGTGCAGCAGCTGCTAGTGACGTAGTTGGGTTCGGGCTTGTACATCACATATACCGCGTGTGTACGGGTCAATTTTGCGGACCGCGAAGTGCGCCATTGGTGGCGTGTTTTGGCGGATTGTCGGTGTTATGCATGAAGCTTTGAGTAATACGCGTTGAATCACAAGTTTTGTCGTGGGTTTTCGAAAAGGTGAAATAAGATAATGTAGGTCACCAACGCAATTACCAATAACGGGCTCTTGGCAAAGAAAATAGGAAAAAAACCCCACAACTGGGAACGTAAACAGACGGTCCCAAAGCCACCCTGCCCACGTACATTACCTCGTGGACGCGCGTTGCATCGATGCTCGGTAGAAGCAGCAGCAAAGACACCCAACTTTGCGGGAGCTCGAGAAAGTTATAATTTCCAAGCCAAGCCTCTCGCTCTGCACACCCTCGCTGTTAACTCTTGAAGGAGGAGGACTCGACAACAGGAGAGAGCAGGGGCCTCCAGAGCACGTCCCTGCGTTTGCCCATCAAAGAAGCCGTAGGTGGTGCCAGTGCCAAAGACTCCGCTTTCTCTCTACGCGCCGGGGCGTTAAACGAATTTCTCGGGCTCGAAAGAGGGGGGTGCGAAGACGATGGCATCCTGGATTCTCCGCCCCCTCCCTCTTGGCTTCCTGTGTGTACATGCGCGAGGAAAGCGAAATGAGCCTGCAGCTCTCTCGCCAACTTTCGCGACAATTGGGGAAGTTTTGGCTCACCGCGCCCCCCCCCCTTCCCTCGCTCGCTTACTTCTCGCAGCTTTGACGATAGCAAATGCAACCGCGGACTTAGCAAAGATGTTGTGAAGAGTTTTCGGAGGGAAAGGGGGAATCGTTCGCGGGGGATGTGCGATAAAACTTGGCGCGGCCAGGGGACATGGGAAGTGCCTAACCGCAGTACACGCTATATGGCTAATGCTAAAGTTGACGAGAGGCACGTGGTACAGCGTAGGGATGAGTATCCGAGCTGTAGAGGCAACGCCACTTCTGCATTAGCCGACTCGATACTATGGGTGGTTTTGTGACTTACCTGTTGTTCCGTATGGTTAATGTGGATTTTTTTTTTACGGGGATGATAGGTAAGGGTTGAGTAATCTTTCGACGCAGTGAATGAATAAAAAAACGTTTGCCACTGCGTAAATGTAACATTTATTTTTGACATGATTTATGACAATAGATGATAATAATAATACACGGATTAATAATTGTTGTCTTTATCTTTCTTTCCTTCTTCGAATACAAAAATGAATTGACTGTATAAGTATAGGACTGTGTAGTGAAAATACATCGAAGCTTTCTCTCGCTTGTTTTCCCATTATCGCCACCCCCTTCGCTCATTTTTTTTTTTTTTTTTTTTTTTTTTTTTCTAAAAATTCCAAATTTTTTGGTATTAGGGCTCTTTTTTTATTTTTACTAAATTTTTTTTTTTTTTTTCTATCCTTTTACGAAGAAGAACGATTGCATTAATTCATTTGTCAAAATAATTCGTTGCTACTTTACTTTCTTATGATAACATTTCAGCTTCCAAACCCTCATCTATCCCAAAAGAACCAGACGGATAAGGCTACATGCATCGCACTTTTTTTCTTCATCTGTCTCTTGTATAACTAATCACCAACTATAGTTGAGGTTGAGACACCTGCTTTGGCATATTTCTCCACCTCAAAACTGCAACCCTCATTTTTCCAATGTAACATGTAATAAAAAAAAAAAAAAAAAAAAAAAAAAAAAAAAAAAAAAAAAAAAAANTTTTTTTTTTTTTTTTTTTTTTTTTTTTTTTTTTTTTTTTTTTTTTTGTTTCCTAAACGAGAAGGTTGCGCGGTGGTAGGATGTGTATCTCGTGTTTCTTCTTTTCCGGGTAGGGAAAAAAAAACGAAAGAGGACCCTTTTAATTAGACGCGGCTACGACAGGGTGGCTCTTGCGTTTCTGCGTTTTGGTTTTTGTTTTTCAAACCACGAGGCTCTTGTACGTGAAAATACTTTTTCCGAAAACTTCCGCTTCCCTCGCTTCCAACGTCCGATCTGCACCGCTCGTTTCCTCGAACTTTTTAATTGCTCGGCTCTTTTATTTTTTTTTTCCCCTAGTTAGAATCTGGGACTTTTTTAGCCACTGCGATGGTGAAGTTTTGACAAACACAATAGGAAAAAAAAAACACCCCCCGTGACAGGAGGGCAAAAGTTTTCATTCGTCGCACATAACTCGCGACGTAGAAAAATATTTTTAATTAAACGACACTCGCGCGATTTCGCGGTGGGGATACCAATTGAACGGGACTGGTGAGGATTTTGCCAGTGGCGTAAAAATTGAAAACACATTATCGGCACTCGTTTGAAGCCAAGTGAAAAAGTAAGACCGAAAATAAGTCACCCCTCGCTGGTTACATCGACGCAAAAGCAGTAAACACTCGAGCGGCAGGATTCTCATTGATCGTTCTCGGGCCAACCAAACCGTGTACATTTACACACAGCGTATAGCGAAAGAATTAAACGGAATACACTCCCGCGGGGAAAATGCACACACAAGAGCAACTACCCGCACGAAATGAAGAAGAAACGGAGGAGTCCAAGAGAGGGGAGGGGGGGGGGAGATAGTCAAATATACACATAGGGGTAGGAGCGCGTCTCTGCAAATTCCTTTGGACCGACCAGTGCGAGTGTATGAAGTACACCCAAGAGGTATGTATACACGCAAGAGGGAAAAGAAAAGGGAATAGCCGAGGGAGTGGTGCACACAGATACAGATGGCTTTGGTAAACACTCGAGCCCCCACCCCCGCACACCCCGCGGCCAGACTCCATATGTACACCGTCCTTTGAATGTATACCACATATAGGTACACAGGGTCATTCGTGGCAGGAAGACGGACGGACGGGGGGAAGAGAGCTGCTCGAGAATGTAGCGTAAGCAAGCTGATGCTTGAAATTTCTTATCGTTTTCCCCTCCCGATGCGTGTACGTATACGTGGGTGCTCGTACATACGGATGTACGCGGAGGGTAGTTTCTCCCTACTATACATGACTACTCTTCTTCTCTGGGTCCGTGTGTACCGGAATTCTTGCGACAACCCGGCGCCGCTGATTCGACGAAATGCCCTTCCATTGGCAAGAAACGGGGGTATGTATATAACACCCTCCGACGCTTGGGTGAAGGTATATGTATACGTGTTTCTTCACCCACCCCCTTTCACCCTTGATGAAAAAATGTTGCCGAGCGAGCGAAAATAGTTCTCTTCCATTGAAACGGAGTGGATACAATTATTGTCGTTCGATTCGCGATGGCATTGGATTTCATTATTATTCACCTACGCAGTATACTCGAGAACCGCGCACGTGAGTCGATCTCAATCAGCCCTACCGAGCAAACTATTCTCGCGGCAGCGCCCAACGGGGTAAAAGCCCTCGCGGCGTCGTCGGCAGATACAACTTCCTTTGAAAGGCTGTCTTTGCTCCAAAGAGGACGTGTTTCTCTCTACTCGTCGTTTCCTTTGACACGTACACCCAATATCACGTAACAGCGGCCTACGATGACGATGATGCTTTGGAAGAGATTCCGCGAAGGTATGGGTATAAGTATTTAATTTAGTGAAAAACTACTGATATTTTTTAAACACAGTACAAAAAGGTATAACCTGATCTCGTGTATACAGCGCTTTGGATTGCAAGCTGTACTATGCTAATGTGCCACGTGTGTGTATGTGTGTGCGTTGGCTTGCACCGCAGGCAGGAGCTTCTTACTTGCCTGGTACAACAACAACGCACCTAACAACCCAACCGACGCTGCTCAGGCATTTCCACGTCTGACCCCATTAGTTTTGCAGCCACGGTACATTATTCCCCCTCGCCCTGTGTGTACAACAGCAGAGAGAGAGAGAGAACCGTATGCCGTGCACCTATACTTGCACGTAAAGTCAGAGAGAGAGAGAGAGCCCGTAGGATCTTATACGTGGGACTTTGGTTGCGATTCGGTGTATCATGCCAAGAGGAGGAGAGAGATGTAGAGTTGGGAAGGCAAGGGAGAGAGAGGGGGGGGGGAATGGATGCTGCACATTCCGCTGCGTTTCCGGGCCCGAATATTCCGCGTAGGTGACTCGATTCTCTCTCCGCATGTGCCCGGGTGCAACGAGCCGAGCCCTCCATCCCTTTGGTGGCTCGCGAATAAGTTCGCCTCCCGAGCCAGATGCTGCCTGTAATTGCCGTGTGTGCTTTCTCAAAGATGGATACATGTGATATCAGCTAACGCGTGCGGGTGTGTAAAGTGAAGAGGGGGGGAAAAAAAAAAAGAAAAATGAAAAACTCTGCGGTTTACCTCCTCGTGCCCGCGACCTCGACGACTTTGCAGCGGCTCCGGCTCCACCAGAAGGGCGTCAACGTCCAGTAGGAACTGCTCGCGCTCCTCGCCCAGCCTTCGTCGGGAAAGAGGAGGACCTGCGAGCAAAAAACATAAATATTTCTGTTTAGCCTAAAAGCTTTAAATTTTTTTGTTCATTTATTTATCCAAGACAACAAATATCGGCACAACTATATTTATGGTTCCCGAACGTTCGGTCGCATCGGTTTAGCTGGCTGGCAGTATCCTTTTCGACCGAGCAACCATAAAGTATCTCCCGCGATCCAGATGTTTTCGGCGTATAGGTATATGTATATACGCAATACCGGGGCACAAAGAGCCCACGAGAAAAATGAAAACGCCCATATATATACGTGTACGGTGCATATCCTTCATCGCCGAGCATCAGAGAAAGGGATAGATATAGTAAACCGCTGCACTTCCCTCTCACGGCCCATCGAGCACCAGGAGAAGAAAGAATGAGAAATTGGACGGGCTTTTTTACGGCGCAGCTGAGTCGATATGGTATTATATACACATACAAACTCCCCCGCGGGTTTGGGCGCGTACGTATGAGCCCGAAAAATGAGTGCAAGCCTGTGGGGGGAGGATTTTCCGGCTCCCATCCTACATGATGGGCCGGTTATGCGTGAAAAGATCGTACACGTATCTTGGGCTTGCTGGATGTTGGATGAAGAATTGCCTAGGGGCGCATCATTTCTAGGTGTAATACGCTCTCTGTGTACGTGCTGCAGATAGATTCCGACCTATACCGGTTTTGCAATCGAGTGTATGGGAAGCTTATCAAGTCGTATACACATACATATTTTTTTCTTCCAAAATGTTCATTGAGCGAACAATATTGTTGCTCTCTGTGCGGTTAGTCAATGTATACGATTCCTCGATAGCGTTTTCCCATTGAAAGAAGAAACTCTGCATCTGCATTACAACGAATAACCCGACGATGTAGGAAAAAAGAAAAGATAAAATGAATCGGTGTACGCGAGAGTAGCAACAAGAATGATGTACAAATGTCCCGTGCAGGCGAGCACGCGCGGAAAAATCACCTTTGGGGGAAGGAGGGGGATGAAACGCTGCGTGTGAGCAAGTATCGTTTTGGCCGTCCCCTGCCCCCATATTTCCCGTACGCGCGATCACTGCGAGCTTGTAATGGTCGCTCTCACGCACACATCTTGACCGAAATATTGAAATTCTCGCGGGTGCCGTGTGTATACACCCAACGATTGTGAGCAAGCGCAGGTATAATATATTTGCGGCGTCCCACCGCGAGCGCCCCTCGAGTTGTCGCGTTGCTCTCGTTTTTTTTTTTTTTTTTTCTTTGTTTCACATGCACGCTCGGCTTGTCCTAGTTTACATTTTTTTTTCGAGCTACTCTTTTATAACTCTGGCGAAAAATCGTCCCCTTTCCTCTGGGGAGGCTAATAAATTTCCCTGCTCGCTCCATACGCGTGTAGCGTGAGATCGAATTATCCGCGGGGGGTGATAACGACGATAGCGCGGGTAATCGGGGCGTCGAAAATTGTCCCCGTGGATCCGGGCAAAAAGTGGCGATGCGCAAGTGTACATACACGTATATGTATTTGGGTAATGAACGGCGATTGCCCGGTCGAGCGGAAATTTTCAATAATCCGCGTGTTTTGCCTTTGATCCCCCTCCCCCTCGAAGCGTATTGAATTTCGTCCAATGCTCGGGTATGGAGCTCGATAATGTCCTATTATCTGAGGGGTTGGGGGGGGGGGGATAAATTAATGACATTTATTTGTTCGGCAAACAGCTAGCACGTATACCCAATCGTTAATTTCACAAACACACGTCATCCGGTTGATGAGTAATTTTTCTTCTTATTTGTTTTATTTTTTTTTTTTTTCGATGATTAGGTACGATGTCAAGGGTGTACGACCCATATAACAACATGTATATACACTTTGATGGTCTTTCCGCTCTGATAAACCGGCGAACGACATCAATATCCCATCAGCTGCGTACATATATACCCACGAATGGCCACATCATATTGTACTTTACATGGGAAAGGTATTCTGCCGCACATATGACCACAACACACAATCTATAATATATAATATACGTGTGGGCAAATACACTTGTGAGCATTTTATCGTGTGTGTGGGCGTGCAGGTGCTTGGGTTGTACATCATCCCCGACGAATTCCTCGACAAGGGGCGGCCAAAGTACTGTACAACTGCTAGCGCTGATTAGTCGCTCTCTCTGGTATGATTAAATGCGCACGGGTATATACGTACGTGTGTATACACACAAGTGCGTTTAGGCACCGCTGATGGACGGACCAGTGCAAGTGAAGTCTGATTGGCGGAAAGTTATACGCGTGCGTGTGTATACCGTTTTGGTACACAACTCGGGGGCTTCCATTAGCAGCCATTAGCCGTGAACGTAAATGGAGTTACACTGCAGGTACATATTGTATATGTGTATATGTACTTGGTCTCTCGATAAATGAAAGTAGAAAGCGATGATTAATTATTGATAAAATTATAGTGCGCGAAAGGGGGTGGAACAATGGGAGGTCCAGCGCACGGTATACGGACCTTTTTTTTTTTTAATACATAATCGATGTGGGAGGAGGGGTGAAATCGGGGGAGAATCCATCACCACTCGTTTTTTTTCTCGCCAACTCTTGCTCGGAGCAGCAGATCCGCGAGGTACTTATGTTGGATATCCTTCTGCGATTGTAATTTTATGGGCTTGGAGTTTTTTTTTTTTTTTTTCATGGTTGGAAGAGATGTGTATCGTGTGCGCTGAAGAAAACTAAAACTATATAAGGTACGAAATACCAAGTTGTGTTGATTGGTTGATTCATGCGTATAGTTCTGCTCGTGGGCAATTCTTAGCTATTTCTACCTCAGCAAGTGGTAAAGAACTTTGCATGCTCTAGATGTGTGATGAATAATTATAAACAACGAGAATACACAAAACTTTTTACGATGTAATTGGATTTTTTTGTTTTTTTTTGTTTTACGATACAAGTGTACAATATAAGTGTCTCAAGTGGATGATGGTTCATAAAAAATGGGGGGGTGAAGGTTCTTTTTTTTTTACGTTTTAGAAGTTCGCTGCAATAAGTATCCCCTCACGCGATCGGGCGAAGCGAAAGGCCACTTGGCCGGCGAAAGTTGCGTGCCCGGCGTTATAAAGTCGAGCTTAAGAGCACACGCTATTTGCAGCCGAGGAAGGAAAAAGGGGGGCGCGATTACCGGAGATTACGGCGCGAATTAAGGCTGCCGCGATTAAATTTCCCGATAGTCTCGCGGCCATTGTTTATACCCGCGGACGCTGGGACAAATTGCCACAATTTTCATGGATTAGCGCTTTTTTTTAAGACGGCAGTTCCAATGATTCTTTTTTTTTGTAAAGTGATCCTTGGACATACGGTTTAAGTGGGTAGTACGAAGAAATACGCCAGGCTGTGAGTGTTTGCGCGGTGCAAGCTCCTCGTGGGAGTCATTGATCGTTCGAGGGATTAGAGAGAGCTGATGCTGTCGTGCTGTTACACAAATGAGGGCATAAAAACAGGTGGAATCTGAAAAACTATGCTTTGTGCTACCGGATGTGGGAATCATAGGTCACGACTCGATTCCCGTGTCTACTTGAGGCTTTCCCTTTGATTCACAAAATTATTTAAAAAACAATTAATTATACTAGTGTTTCCAACGAAATGTAAACTTATCTCTTTGAATTAAGTTAAATTTTATATCTCGAGACACCCTTGAGTCGGTTTAAAAAAAAAAACTGTTAATTTACGCTTGAGTTGTTACAATCGAAAACTTTGAATCTCTATATTCGCGAATCGAAAGAAATGAATGATGCTATAAAATTACCATCAAATCTAAACTTTTTTCTCCGTGAATAGAAAAGGAACAGAGAAAGTAAATCTCTATACTACTACCGAAAGAATTGAAAAAAAAAGAAAATCACAGTATCAGACATTTCAATGAGCTGCCAACGATTCCATCCCCAATCGTTGGAGCTCCCACACCCTCCTTTATCGCCAATAATACCGATATACCCTCAAGTCACGCAACCCCCCCTACCCTCTGAATAACAATGGCGCACAGTTACATACAACACGAAGCAAAAAAGATACTTTCTAACGGTAGTATCCCCTCGATACGTTATCCCCCTCCTCCCCCAACATAACGAAAACGTAAGGTACCTACTTGGCTCTGGCTCCCCCGCCCCATGTCGTGCTATCTCCACACTACCGCGCGTTATCTCGCGGACAATTATACCAAAGCCCCAAACGGCCCCTCCGCGCGAAGCCACAGAGAGAAAAATCAGTGCTCGTGTCTTATACACCCGACGAACTTTTCACTTAAAAAAACGCGTCTCTAATGACAGTCGCGGAGCCAAGATTTTTCATCGTAAAACTCGACTCTTTACTTTTTGTTCTTTTACCCCGTGGAAGGGCGCATATAAAGAGCCCCGAGTTTTTTTTTTCATGCACCACAGCGAGTCGGCGTTTTTGAGCTTTTCCTCTCTCGGCTTCTTTTTGTTGCTCCAGCGGGTGTACAATAAGAGAAGCCCACCATGCCATTTTTCTTCCGACTCATTGTACACGCGTATTTGACGAGACGAAGCGCAGTTTACCCCTTTTTTTTGTTTTTAATTGCTCCTCATTGGAGTATTCTAAAATTAGTTCGCGACACTATACAAAGGGTATGTATATTATTATTGTACTACGGATGACTCCCCAAGCGGGGCAAACACCGTCGCGCATAAAAATGTTCCCAACGTCATCGGCGCCCCGTACCTACTTAGGTACTCGAAACTCGACTTCATGGCCCCGTAAGTGAGCGAGAGCCCTTCGCTTGTGCCCTCCAAATACGACTCCTCGGGGGCCCGTTTGCTGGAAATTCATAATACCCGGTTGCAGCAGTTGACAATAAAGCCTCGGGAATTAAGAGCCCCAGCAACGCCTCGCGCCGAGTAATATACGTATGGTACAGCGAAAAAAAAGAGGAGGGGGGGGGGAGAGAAGTGAGTAAAGGGTAGGAGCGAGGCAATTTAATCAGACGGAAAGAGGTGCGCGACGCAAACGAGC